TTGGATAGACCCCAAATCATCATCCATCTCCTCTTTAATATCCCTTCCATACACAGGCGTAGTATTTGATTCTGTAGCGAAGTCGCCCATTCCAACGAAACTAACAGGCTTGTTCTACTCGGCCCCTACAAATGGCAAGCAATTAAGGCCTTTCAAGGCTACACGCAATCGAAGCTCTTTGAACAAAGCCAAAGCCTCATCGTTGAACAACTGAAAATGAAGGTATCTCCCTACACGGACCGTAACCCCCTCAGACAAGTCCTTGACTGCACAACCAGCTAGGTCCATTTGCCCAAAAAAAACAGAGTCACATACTTCCTTCCCTTCCGTATTCAACCCATACTCAACTTCAGGTCCAATATGCATAACTGATAACCCACACCCCTTCTCCGTTGCCGTCTCAACTACATCACTCCTCAACATCTCACAAGAAGGAGTAGAAGAAGAAGATGGAGCAGTGAAAGAACTCCGAGGGCAGAGAGAGTACTTATAGTATTGTGTGGTCAACATAAACCTCTAAAATTATAAGGTAAACTCCATGAAACGGCTACTAAACTAGGTGGCAAACGTTTGACAACTAAGAAACTAATGTATTTTTAAAAGAGCGGCTGGAATGTGGATGTTAAGAAGGATGTGCGGTGAGATAAGAGAGGATAAACCTAGAACAGATTTCATTCATCGGTATTGAAATAGCACCAAGTAGAGACAAAATGAAAAGGCATACGAGTCTTTATGATGCTCAAAATGGACAACACCCTTTACGTTGATAAGGGGTAGAGACTGGGGTTGAGCTCGTGGGGGATACACCCTGACTTTCAATCCGTTTTACTACTCCTAAACCAACAATTTTAAACTCAACACCTTTAAGAATAGCCGCTTCCCCTCTAATCGAATATCATTCTTTTCCGCCATACCAACCTTTCAAATATTCCTAACCTACAACCAAGATACTAATGAGTAATTATATATTATAAATCTTATTTTTATATTTAACACACTCGTACTCAAAAAATCTGAGTTTAATTCGCAAAAGTGAAGTGAAGTGGAGCTGTGGTAGCAAAATGGTTTTCAAGCTAGCTATATACTTAAGACATGCAAGTAGAACATACTATTGCGGTAGAAAATAATTAAGCTACTAAACAGCCTACAACCAAAGCAAAACAACAATAGGAGACTAAGTCGGATTTTTTTTTTTTTTTTTTTTTTTTCTAGGCTGTATTAGAGCCGATCGTAGCTTGATGAATTCATCAGCATTGACATAGCACCAACTAGAGACGAAATGAAAAAATATAAATATATATGGCGAAAATGTTTTTAGCCTGTGTAATGTAGAGTAAATGCACCAATGAGGAATAGTGGTGTGGCTCACATTGAAGGTAGTGCTTAGGGAAGGGAAGAATAAAATTAACATGAGTTGGGATAGAAAACATATGATAGCATTGATTAGGACAAGACATTATTCATTCTTGTGGGGAAAAAACATAAAATTATTCCTTGTTCGCTAAGGGCCTATTTGGAAAACGTATCCGTTTTGCGTTTCTGTTTTCATCTGAAACAAAAACAACATTTTTTGTGTAAAGTGTGTTCAATAGTGATTGGAACCATATTTGGTAACATAAATTTGTTACAAAATTTTTGGAAAAAAAAATATGAAAACATGTTTGGTAAAAACTAAAAAGTGTTCCAAAATTGATAAACAAAATGGCTATTTGAAAAGGGTAAATTACACTAACCTCCCTTGGTTTGGACAAATTACACACAAGGAGAGCGTTTGACATTTATTACTTTGACCTCCCTAGAGATTTGGCGCGTGTGCTTAATGACACCCCTGCCTTTAATGAAAATTCAAAAAATGACTAAGTTGCCATTTCCTTGCGTTAAAAGACCTCAATAACCTTACTTACCAAAAAAAATAAATAAAAAATCTCAATAACCTTAAATTTTGACATGAAATGACAAAAACACCATGAGATGCCTAAATTTTCTTACCAATTTTATATTCTTAAATTTTACAAAAATATATAATTTTTTTGTTAATGACATTTGATTCGGTTTCTTTTAAGGGTTTCCTATATTTTTTTCCCCAAAAAAAAAAAAAAAAAATGTGTAGGTAGGGTAATATAGTGCTTACAAGATGGGGGGTGGGGGGAATAAATAAAAGGGTAATACAGACTTGTAATTTAACTTCATTAAATTAGATAAGGGTATCAAAGACATTTCACACTTCCAGGGGAGGTCAAAATAATAAAGGTCAAACGCTCTATCCATGAGTAATTTGCCCAAATCTCAGGGAAGTTAGTGTAATTTACCCATTTAAAAAAGACTACCTAGATTTTTTTAGTTCTATTGTTTTTACTACAGTGCGAAAATGTTAAGAAACGCCAATTCGGTGTTTCCGATTTGGGCCTCTTTTCGACAACAAACGTTGTACTCCCTCCGTCCCAAAGTCCCAAAATTCTTGTCTGTCTTTCTATTTTGGGATGTCTTAAGATACATGTCTCATTCCAAAAATGAATGTACTATTTTTAATAACATTCCCAAACTATCCCTTTGACATTGACTTGATTAAACAAGTGCACTAATTACAGAGTACTATTTTGTCTTTTAACAAGGATATATTTGAAAATTCACTCTTATCAATACAACCAAAAAAAAAATTAAAACCCAATCCCATAAAAAGTTGGATTCCCCAAACATCCCAAGAATTTGGGCAGAGGTAGTACTATACAAATCACAACAAAAGTTACCAAACGCGTTTCGGAGTTTTGCTTTGCTACAGACCCTGTGGTTCCATTTGGTTAGTTGGAAATCGATGGTGGAAAGTGAAAGGAAAAGAAAATGAAATGAAAGAAAAGAAAATTAAGTTTCTATTATCCATTTTGTTAGCATGAAATTTTTTAAAAAAAATTGTGGCAAAATGTTGTTTCGTTAGTTTGGATAGCAAAATAGTGAAAAGAAAATGATTTATATGCCAAAACTATCCTTATGAATTCAGCACTAAGTAATATACATCATGCAACAAGCGTAATAAAATGGTATAAACAATTGTTTTATAAATAAATATATGTGTGCGTGCATATATATAGAGTCCTACTTTAAAGAGTCAGAAAGTTGTAACCTAATTAGGAGTCCTAATTTATGAAGAAAAAAAAAAAAACTCACTCCTTTTGTGGGTCTGAAGAAGGAAGAGAAACAACTGACAAGGGTATAATTGGAAGCTAGCATATAATTATACAAATTTCACGTGAAACTAAAATTTTCGCATGTTTTATGGAGGAAAAATTTTGAGGAAAATCAACCAGTTGCGGGAATATAACTTTTCTGAAAACTATGCTTTTCACACTAACCAAACTGCAAAAAATAATAAAAAATTAAAATTAATTTTTCCGTTTTTTTTTTCCTTTCTAGCTATTTCACGCTAACCAAACTAACCCCGTGGAATTTGTTCCCGTTTGCTATTATTTGTTCTCTTTTTAGTTGGGGAATGGGGAGAGATTGTATTTCATTAGACGAGAACATGGACTTTTTGGGGTCTTTGGATCCATAAGCCTTCCTCTTTCCCTTTTTTCCCCCCCCTCTTGAACGCTTTCTATTTGCTCCTGTTTATAGATAAAAGGAGTTTGTGAGACAATGGCAACAAATAAACAATGCTACTGTGCACACTTGAGAGAGTTCAGGTTCTTGGGACTCTTTGTACTCTTTGGGATTTCGAGTTGACGACTCATCTGTGCTACCTAGACACTACTATTCCCCTTAATGTAATTGTTCAACACAACACAATATAGTTATGGATATGGAACATATGCCCTATAGATTTACTCAAATCGAATAATTGCATCCTCTAATTGTGATGACCGATGAGGGAAGAAGAAGATGAAAAGCTCAAATTTTGATAACAAAGACGGGTTACCTACTTCTAAAATAGATTAAATCTCTCTCTTTTTTTCACCATATGCCATTTAAAATTCAATCAATATTGAATACATTTGTAAACGTAAAGAATAAGAGCATCATGTGTAATACTTTTATGTAGAATACTATGTTTTTAATGTGCCAAACTTAACCTTGTATTTGTATCTAACTCTTGGATGCATTTTAACTCGGGTTGACATATTCTAAGATTTGGGATTAGTGAGGTCTGACATTTAGACAAAATAAGAATTAACTATAAAACTTCTTTATTTCTAATTTCAAGTGCAACATGCATTTTTGTCGTGGGGGCAGATAATAGGGTGAGATTCAAGTACGATAAGTGAGATGAATTTCTCGCTTTGATAAACTTTATTCCTTATTTGTTTAGTATCACAACGGATCGGAATGCTAATGTGGCAGATATCCACAACCTCGAGATGGAAGAATGGTCTAGGACTGATTTCAGAGGGAGGCGAATGATTAGTGGTCAAATGGGGATGTAGTTGTTTTATCCTTTATATAGTTAATTGCTTGTGAAGAGATGAGGATGAGGTGAAATATAGGGACTTTCCAAGTCAGTTCATTTCCACTTATGTTCAATGACAACAAGAACTTTTAGATGCTACATTTTGCTCAAAAATCAATTTGACAACAATATATAACATAATGTCTTGCATACAAGGGGTTTAATTCTCTTAAGAAGAAAAGGCAGCGCAGACCTTCTATAAACCACCTCACATTACTTTTACTCGGAAATCATATAATGCTCAACCGAATGCAAAGCTGTTTGCATTTAGTAACATAAAGTATCAACCTTCTTCTATTAATTATACTTGTCATCCTCGAAGTTCAATCTTCTAAATATGAATTTGGAGCAATAAAATCAGTAAAATGACAATACATAGAGACACAAAAATCCCAACGCCAAAGCATCTAATTTGGTTATCTCCGCATATATAATATGTTCCAATGTACAAATAGCTACAAGTACGCGTGTATTAAGAGTTAACATATATATAAAATATATAAATCACACGTATGTATATATATACACACTAACAATATATGCAATTGCAAGGGAACCATACCAACTTCAGAGAAGGATTCACCATTCTGGAGCCTAGACCGGGCCTGAACATGAGGACTCTGGTCTCTAGACGGCCCACTCTCAGTCGACATACTGTCCGAATTGCTTCCATTATCAACCCAACCCACAAAGTTAACAGCTTCCTGAGAACCCATCCTTCTCTGATGAACACTCTCCTTCTTTTTCCCTGCGGCCGCAGACCCCGAACCCGAAGAAGAACACCCATCACCACCGGGCTTCGAAAGATTACTAGCACCAAGAGCAGACCCCTTATCTCCCCGAAACCCGAAGAAGCTCTCCTGGGGCAGCGGCCCCGATCTTGTTTTGATCCGATTCAAGCCCAGCGACGACGCCAGAATGGGTGACACCGAAGACGGCACTTCCCTCACATCCGAGGCTGCTTTTCTTGTCTTCGAAATCGCCGCCACCGAGCTCGGCTTCGCCGCAATTTGACTTTGAGTCTCTTTGCCCTTCAAATCCTTTTTCTTCTGCTGTTGTTGTGACAGTGATTGTGATTGTTGTTGCTGCTTGAGGCCATCTTTGACTTGCGTTTGACGACACGGAGCACTGAAGCCACTTCCACTGGCACTGCCACCACCGCCGATCGGTTGATCGTCTTTGGCGGATTTGACCTTCTTCTTCTCAGATCTGATTGGCGAATTGGAACCGAAGGATCGAGGACTGTTGGATCCGTCAGGGCTTGAAGTATCGGATTTCTTGGAAGAGAAGAACCTACCCTTGAACACCATTTCCTTGATTGCTAGGGTTTCAAAACAGTTCGCAGCCCCAACATAGATGCAGGGCTGCCCAACTACAACATGACCACAAAAAAGACTTAGAAAGACTCGCTAATATAGAGTGGTAATAGAGAATACCATGCCCAAAATGTAGAGAGAGCAAGTAAGAGGAAAACAAAGCTGTCCAAAAGTTTGAACTTCCAGATGGATAGAGGAGACTACACAGAGAGACAGAGAAAATGGGAGTTGAATTGAAGCACCAGGGAACACAACGTGACTGCAGTTGAAACGCGTTTGTCTAATGGCAATAATAATACAAATAATAATAATAAATAAATAAATAAAACTTTGAACAATTTATTTATAATAAAAAAAATTTTAAAAAAAAACTTTTTAATCTTTCTTTGTTAAATAAAGCTTGACTACAAAATTTATATATATATGACTTTCCGAAAAAAAAAATTATATATATATAGAGTATTCAATCTAGTAATACATTTCGGAAAATTATGTACAGAAAATAGGGACATTAATTCTCCTAGTAATATATGATACATTAAAATTTAAGAGAAAAAAGAAAATTAAAAGAAAATATTGATCATGATTTTGAAATGTGTATACTATATTTATTTAAAATTTTATAAATATATAAGATGTAAAGTTATAGTTTGGATTAGGTTTGGATTAGGGTTGAGTTTGGCTTAGCTTAGTTATTATTGTCAACTCAAATCGGAGTTGAGTAAAAGTTTGAATAATATTTTCCACACTTATTTGCATTTTTAAGACCACTGTATCACGTGTTCTTACCTAATTTAAGAAATTAAATATACAATTAAAGAAACTCAAAATTAAGACTCATTAATCAAGTTCTTCATAAATCATTGGTCTATTCATTAATCAATCTTCAGTGAAATAAAATTTCACGAGGTGTTAATTCGGGTCAAATATTCATGTATTACTTAATCCAAAAAAAATAAAAAATATAAAATAAACCATCTACTTGTTTGAGGGTTTGAACAATATGGGCAAAAGAGAGGTGAAAATGAAACAACAAAGAAGACAACATGATTTCAGCAGAAACGTGCACGTCTATTTGCTAGAAAGTCCAATTTGAATACTTTCTAAAAAAAAGTCCAATTTTTATAATTTTAATTTTATATCTATACTACTAACATCTTTTCAAACCCGAGAAGAAAATGAGTTGGGCTGGGCTCGAGCAAATGAGTTGGTCTGGGCTCGAGAAAATGAGTTGGGCTGGACTCGAGCAAATGAGTTGGCCTGGGCTCAAGCAAATGAGTTGGGCTGGGCTCCAGCAAATGAGTTGGCCATCACTAACCATCCATCTTCTAATCTGCAATATGGATTCCGCGTCTATATTGAGATCAGGATATTGTTGGGCTAAATGATGGCCCATACCTCGCAGCAGGCTTTGTGACTGCCAGTCCATTACTTTTAGCGGTTATTATTTTTACTTCTCCTAAGGTTTGCTCAATGACATGTGTTGCGTTTAGTATATAGGAATATAATAGAATGTAAGTAGGAATAAAATAAGAATAAGAATAGAATGAAATGGAATAGTCGTTCTCATTTTATTATTTGGTGGTAATAACTATTCTAATGTTTGGTTGGATCAAATTAAAATTTAGAATGAAATAAATTTTAAATTGAGTTCTCCAAAATATTTCTCGTAGTAATAAATAAATTAAATTAATAGAATGACATTCTTCTAAATAAATAGTGGCAATGGCGGTGGTGGATGGCGGTAGAGGTGGAAAGCGGTAGTGATGTAGGTGGTGGTGTTGGAAGGCAACAGTGGTGACAATGGTGGAAGGCGGGGCAATGGTGGTTGTAGCAAGCAGTAGTGGTGTTAGTGGAATGTGATACCCCTCGGATCCGAGACATGGGTTGATCAGGCTCAGGCCCAAACCCGAGGGATATCAAATAATTAATATGTAACCGAACACAGAATACAAGACGAAATAAGAAATAAATAAAAATAAATAAATAATAAACTGAAATAATGCTAATTGAAAAATCCTTAAAATAATATCATTATTGAAATCTCTTAAATCCAAAACTCTATAAGTTTACAACTCGGGAATCCATCCATTGGACCCCTTATTAAAATTCTCAAACCAAAACTGAAATAATAGAAATAAAACCCAAAACTAACATAGAAAAGATTCCTACATAATCGGAGGAATGAATAGCTGTATCTGCTCTGCACGTCCGAGCTCTAACCCTGGAACTGACGAACACCTGAAAAATAAATGAGTGGGTCAGGCCCACGTGTAAGCCCTGATCTACTACAATCAAAACAGTAATCCGATACGCAGATACATTCTAAGAAGAGTCAACAATATCTAGAGTAGTCCATATATATATATAGTACACACTATAGGACGTTCGCTAGTCCAATAGATCTGTCTCAGCCGGAATAGAAGGCAACATGCGAATACGCACCCGAAGGTGGACATGAGTACCTAGACCTACCAGGAAACAACACCTATGTCCAGTTATCCATCCTAGGCGATATACGCGCCCTAACCATGGTCCTGAGACTCAAGCTCTTGCCATGGCACATAAAGTAAATATATAAAGTCCGTACTCCTAATACAAAATATCATCCATCCGTATAGTGGTCTGATATGTGTATAACAAATCCATCCTGAAACCACAATAGGTCATTCAATTTATTTGATTGACATGACACAAGTAGGTGATGGACTTAACCTTTATAGTTAATCCATACCTTAATCCAAATTTGGTAAGACTTAGTGTTTTGAACTAATCCATTCCTAATATAGGTAGGTCTTAGTGTTTTGAACCAAGCCATCCCTAATATGACACCGTCCCATACCGGTTCATATATATATCCATATAAGTAGGACTTAACCTTTTTATAGTTAATCCAACTCATTCCAAATTAGGTAGGATTTAGTGCTTGGACTAATCCATACCTAGTATGTCACCGTCCCATACCGGTACATACAATCCTCCAATTAACGAAGTTGACAAAAACAAGAATAAGTATTTATCAACTATACTCCAGAATTAGCATAAATATAGTTTAACATGTATATAACCAACTTATGCATTCAATATAAGATCTAGAATCCCAATTACAGTCCGTTAAATTTATTAAGTATAATTACAGAATCTACCTCTCCAAATAGTACCATAACTGATGCAATATAAAATAGATTTTAACACCAGTTGATCCCAACTAAGTATACATATAACTATACAACAGTATGCTTATAACACAGCTGCAAAACATGATTTATAAATCCAAGTCATGCAGAGAAATAAAATTCCAAACATAGTAGACAATAGAAATTAATTTTCAAATCATCCACCCACGGGTTCACTGTTTAATCCTAGATTAATCCCGTTCTTAGTTTCCTACTTGTAATCATGCTTCCCGACATTTTTACAAGTCTTAAACATTAAATTACAACATCCAGTAGCCTTTAAACAATTTTAGAAAATCCAATTTCAGCCAAAAAGTCCCTAAAAATTCGATTCTGTGCGTTTTAAAATGGAGCAGGCTCTAAAATTTGGAGTCTGCTCAATTTTTCTCTTGGAGCCGGCTCTAAACCACTTAGAGCCGGCTCAAAGACACTTGGAGCCGCCTCCAAATAAGTTTGGAGCCGGCTCTAAGGTATTTGAGAGCCTGCTTTCTTTTCCCCTAGCCGCCGTTGTCCGTTCCAGCTTCGTCTTCTCCAATTCCGGTGATTACCGGAGCCTCTGTAACATGTTTTAATTCTCATTCTAGGTTCAATCTCAGTCCTAGGTACATATTAAACCACTGATATTCAATGATAGCATGCATAAAACATAGGTTTAGAAGCAACGATTACAAAACCTTAGTCTGAAACTTTAAGCAACCCAAAACAGATTTATTTGATGATCTTCATTACTGTTTTAAGAACTTATTCTAGGGTTCATTTAAATATCTCAAACTAATACTAAAACATAGATATCCAATCACAATAGGAATTTAACACAAGTGCTAAAATAATCGGTAACAAGATTTCTGTTAAAACTTTTAAGCAACATCAAACAGATTAACTCAATAGAAACAAAATACTGATTCAACATGCATACAAGATGAATTATAACATTCGTTGAATCTATTTTAATGTTTGATTAATTCCTGGAGTCTAACTAGGCATGCACAGAAAAAGAATTAACGGGAGAGAGAAGAACAGAGACTTGCCTGCAGTTTCAGATTTGAAACTATAATCCACCGTCTCTATAAATTCCGGTAACGTCAACTTGTTGTTATCAACCTCTGTCACTCCTAGTTAGGACCAGAACTCCTTCTTGAATCCCTCCCTTAATCTCCTAAAGTTTCTCTCGGTAAACCACACAAGCTCCCTCTCTGTTTCTCTGCCCTCACAACTCTCTGTATGACTCTGTTACGTGACTCTGTTATTGAAGGTGGTGAGTAGGGTTTATCAAAAACCCTAGGCAGACGTATACCCATATATTTATAGAGTTATACCAAACCCTAAATTAATTCAAGCCCTAACTAAATCCTAACCGACCCATAAAACATAATTAAAACCTGTGTCGGCTAAATAAACTAAACCCTAAATTATAAAACAGTTAATTTAAACAATTAATTCACGAAATGCAAATAATCAAGCAAATAATTTATTAACCAAATATTTAAAACAATTTAATTCAAGTAATGCAATTAATACAGCAAACAATTTATTTAAACAAACAAAATACAATTTAAACAATAAATTTAGTAAAAACACACATACATAATTAAAATAAATGCCAGGACTATCCCTTTTAAAATTAGGGGTATTACATGGAAGTCGGTGGTAGTAGTGTGGTGGTCGTCGTCGTCGTGGAAGGAAATAGTGATGTAGGTGGCATTTGTGGAAGATGGTGGTGGTGGTGGAAGGTGATAGAGGTGGTGAAAGGCGATGCCGGCAACGGTGGAAGAAAGCAATGGTAGTAGTGGTGAAAGGCGGTTGCGGTAGATGGCAGTTGCGGTGGTGGCGGCGGTGGAAGACGACAGTAGTGGTGGAAAGTAATGGTAGCGACAGTGGTGGCGAAAGATGGTAGCGATGGTGGTGGTGAAAGTCAATGGCAGTGGTGGTAGTGGTGGAAGGTAGTGATGAAAGTCGGAGGTGATTGTAGTGGAAGGTAGTGGTGGTTTTTGAGCTTAGAACTTTATGGTTATTTTGAAAGTTGATTTTTAAAAAAAAATTTACTTGTAAATGGAATGACTTTCAATAGGTTTAGTTTTGGAATGGATTTTCATTCCAATGGAATTGTT